ACCCTCCTCTTCATAGATACGTTCCATCACTGGCAAAAACAACTGGGAGAAGACGGTCCCTCGGGTAACCTGGCCCCAAGCCATAAAGGGCTTTAAAGGTGACAACCAGCACCTTGAATTGCACCCGGAAACACACTGACACATTGCAGTAATCCAGACAGGAGGTCACAAGGGCACGAGTGACAGTGAGCAAAGCCTCTCAGTCCAGGAACAGGCGCAACTGGTGCACAACCCAAAGATGTGCAAAGACCCTCTTAGCCATGGCTACCACCTGCTCTTCCAGCAGGAGCCATGAGTCCAAAAGGACCCCCAGATTGTGCACCAGATCTGTCTGGGGCAGTGCTACCTCATCTAGGACCAAAACGGGAAGAACCTTGACACTGGAAAGCCCAAGTGACCAAAGCCACTCAGCCTTGCTTGGGCTGAGCCGAAGCCCCTTGCACCCCATCCAGGCCCCTACAGTCTCCAAACACTGGGACAGGACATCCATGGCATCGCTCAGAGGGCCTGGGGTGGAGATATGAAGCTGGGTATCATCAGCATATTGATGGTATCTCATCCCAAACTGTCAGATCACCTCAGCCACCAGCCTCGTGTAGACGTTAAATAAGAAAGGAGAGAGGACTGAGCCTTGCGGCAGCCACAAAGTAGAGGCCACAGGCTGGACCTCTCCCCTCCCCCTTCAACACTGACTGGAACCAACCCCAGAGGAAGAAGGAGAAGCAGCATAGCACAGGGCCACCCACCCCCAACTCCGATCCAGAAGGATGCCATGATCGATGGTATTGAAGACCACGGAGAGGTCAAGAAAAGCAAGGATGAACACTTCCACCCGGACAGGACAGTGCACCGACGCGTTTCTTGGAGCTCCGAGGGCGCCTGAGCTGTATTTGATCATCGGTTGGTCTAGGGGAGAGAAGACCACCAAATACTCCCCTGGATGGGGGGGGGGTTCGGAAATTAACCCACGGGACCCCCCACGGCCGTCCCCCCGCCCTTTCATG